AGAATTTATGTTGGTCTGTACCATCTGAGCCCCCACTTCACTGTCCTGCACATTCCCTGGCATGGGGCAGGTGCTGAGAAAATGAGAATGAACAAGGAGTGGGAGGCTCCCCTCTTGGCTGGGCTCTCTCCTCTCTCCCCACTTTGCCTTCTCCAAGCAGCCTTGAGGATTCCCCACAGATCTCCCAGACCCTTGCTTCCTTCCTGCCATGTCTTGTGCTCTGATCATCCTGGGCGTGACGTTCTTTTCTGCCAGGGCTACTTGCTCCTCCAGGCCCTGCACTCTCACCAGGTCTGTCCTGCACACCTGGGCAGGAGAGGGGGCAGATGAATAGGCACGTGGCTCCCCCACCCTAGAGCTGTCCCAGCTTTCCCACACTACACTGCCATCACCCAGGGCCTGGCAGGCCCATGCTGGAGAGGCAGGGATGGACCCCTCTTCCATCCAGAACCTGTTGCTACAGAAATACCAGCAGCGGCCTAGGGCAATGTGAGCCTAAGTGACTAGAGGGCTGAGGGGAGAGGAGCGTGGACCCCGCCAGCCTGGTAACCACCCCTCTGGAGGACATGTCTGTGGGCATCCCTCCAAGAGGAGTGGTGAGACCCCAGACGTGGGTCTGGGTGTGTGTGTGTGTGTGTGTGTGTGTGTGTGTGTGTACATACAACAGAGTATGTGTGCATGTGTATTTCGTATTTCTGCACACATGCATAGGTCCATATCTCTGTATTTCTGTAGATGCACTTATGTGCCCATGAGCATATGTGGTTATATGGGTAGGTCTATGTGTGTTGTGCCTGTGTTGTGTGTATCCTTACATGTATATGTGTATGTGTGCAGCCAGGAGCTCTGTACAGGGCAGAGGAGTTGCCAGCCCTTCACAGTCTTCTCCTGGCCTGGTTTAGATGTTGCTGTCTGAACCCCAGCCCAGGCGGGCACCCCACTAAGGGTTGGGGAAGAAGCTCAAGGGCGAGCAGAGCAAGTCTAGGTCTCAGCAGGCCTCCACTGGAGCACCTCTCCAGCCTCAAGTTCAAGGGCGAGCAGAGCAAGTCTAGGTCTCAGCAGGCCTCCACTGGGGCACCTCTCCAGCCTCGTGGAGGTGCTCTGCGCAGAGGCTGGCTTGGTCTCCAGCAGCAGGCACCACAGACTGGAGTGCCTGGCCCTTGCTCAGATCCTGCTCATTCCTTACAGTGGGATGTGGGACAGACCCATAGCAGAAAGCCACCTCCTTAGGACCAGGAGGGCAAGGAGCTGACCCTACCCTCACCTCGGCCTGTCCATTAGAACCATGGTGGCCCATCTCTAAGAAATCCATGGACACCAGTGGGAAAAGGAAAATCTATTTCTTAGGCATTTGGACTGTTCCTGATGACACAGCTCCTTGGTCACCCAGCCACATGAATATGTGTTTTGGGGGGAGGGGGTGCACACTAGCTCACATCTGCTCTTAGGGACCCTCAGCTACTCCCAGAGGAACAGCAAAGAGCCATGAAACACCCTACCATGGCGAGGCCTTGCGCTGCCAGGAAGGCCCCTTCTCTGTGTGGTTCTGGGGTTGGATGTGTGCAGACAGGGAAGGCAGCTCCAGACGTGCCTTGTGGGTTCGGGCCTGGAAGCTGGCTAAACGTGATGAGAAGGGATGGCAGGAGGAGGAGCAGGCCTGAGGGAGGGCAGACTCACCCCTGGGTGTTCCAGGTGACAAGTGTGGTGTGGTGGTGGATGATGGCGGGTGGACCGTGACTGATAGGAGCAAAGATGGGCTGAGGAGGGGACAGGGGTCCTTGGAGCATGCAGCAGGGAAGCTAATCTGGGCCTGGATGATCAGAGGAGGCCTCTGTGCTCAGCGACTCTGAGCTGGGATCAGAAGGCAGGCAAAGGCTGACGGTGATAACTGTCCAGGCAGGGAGGACACCTGTGCCAAGGCCTGGGCTGTGTGGGAATGAGGGATAGCCCTGAGGGTTCAACTGTGTCCCACCTGCACTTCCCCTTCCCCTCCCGAAACCAGCTCATCCCCAGGGACAGACCTTTTCTGGCAGCCTCTTTCCCACTCCCCCACTCTGCCCCTCAGGGAGACCCTAGTGAGCTGGGCACCCCTCCTGGGGGCTGCAGGTGAGGGAAGGCCTGAACCCCAAAGGCAGGAAAGACCATATTTCTAAAGAGGAAGCATGATTCCAAGGCCTTGCCTTGGAATCACCCAGGGCACCAGGTTCCTGCCAGGAAAGACCCTCTCCCTTGAGGGAAGCCTATAGCTGCCGGGCAAGGCCCCGGACAGGGACAGCTCTGGTCTCTTGCCAGAAGTGACCACAGGTGGATTCCTGCCCTGCTGTGGGCCTTTTAAGTCTAAGATTGAAGGTTCTTCCCTCCAGTGAGAACCAAGGCTTAGGGCCTTTCCTCCAACCAACCTGCCTGGTGGGGGCCCAGGGTCCCACTGGCACCTCACGGGCCCTGGCTAATTTTCCTGCCAACCCTTTGCTTCCTGTCACTCCCTCCCCTCGTTCTCCCTGTTCTGCACTCATCCAAATCTGCCTCTCTTTATCTCCCTGTTGGAGGACGCCCTCTCCTCCTGCTGCGTGAGCTTTTCCAATTCCACACATTCTCACAGATCTTTCCTTCAGGATGTGTGCCCCGCTAGAGGAGTCTAGAGGGAGAGAGACAGGAGTCACTGCAGGCTAATGTGAGGGATAGCAGGGCCCCTTTCCTCTCTCTGGGGTAGTTCTTCCTCATGCTTGGGCAGTAGAGGCTGGGGAGGGGGGTGGTTGAGAGGAGGTTCCCATTTCAGCTGTTCCCTCGCTAGTGAGAGCAATGGCCCATTCCTCACCAGGCGCTCAGAAGTGAGTATGCCTCAGCATCATGGGACACACACCCAGTCTCATTTGAGGACAGCGTAAGCCTCCTGTTAATGTGACTCTGGCCCGCCCCACAGGGATGTCACCCTTATTGGGCATTTGACACCTTCTTGAGCTACCATGGACCCATCTGGGGAGGGTCCATGACCAGTCTCTCCCCTAGAGAAAGAGGGGTCCCTGCTCATCTTGTGGTGGGCCTGGGGAAGCACTCAGACCGGCAGCCAACCCCGTGGTGGAGCAGAGGGGAGAGACAGCAGGCCTGAGTGGGAGACGGCGGTTCCACTGTTGTTGCTCCAGCTCCAGGCAGTCTGGTGCTCAGGAGGCCCTCGACAAGGCTTGCTGAGTGAATGGAGCACTGCTCAGCAGCTCACTCTCCCCTGGGAGTTTGTTCAGGCCTCTTTTCTAAGTGCTGCCTCCCTCCCTCACATGCAGCATCCAGCCTGCCAGCCAAGGGCCCTGGCCTCAGATCACATCCTCCCAGCCGGATGGATTCGAGGCCCAGAGGAAAGAACTGTACTCAGGTCACATGTCACATCTTTAAGTGGCAGGACAGAATCTGGGTCTTGGCCTCTTGGGCCCTGGGAGCTCTTTCCATAGGCCCAGTACTCCCAGGACAACGCTGGGCGGAGAGCTGCTTCTCCTTTCATCTCTGTGAGCACCCAAACACTGCTAAGACCACCTCTGGCTGCACTGCTGTGGCCTGAGAGTGTGACTGTGGGAGAGACCCCTGCTCCTTTGGGACACAGCCCTGTGGTCCAGGATGAAACCCTTTAGGAAGACTATCCCTTGCTTGAAAGACTGGGGCGAGGGCTGCTTCTGAACCACCGCTTTACGTGCTTTCTGGTCGGAGGTTACCGGAAAGCTCAAATCCTCGGGGTTCCAGAGGCCCTCCCTCAAGCCCCACAGCTCCCCCACAGCAAGGGATGGGGGAAAAGTGTCTCAGAGCCGACCAGCCTCGGGCGGAGTAGGCGGGGCTCAGCCCCAAGGAGGGAGGGGCACCCCGCTAGGCAAAGGAATGGACCAGATGGACGGCGGGGCCCAGTCGCGAGCTCCCACCCTGGCTCTGCAGGGAAAGCACGGCAGGTCCCGCGCAAGCGCGCCGCCTGCGTCGAGACGCTTTGTTCTAGCGCTACCTGCGGGTCCATTCACCTCCGCTGCCCCGCCTGCCAGCTAGTGGACACACGGCTGGCGGAGGCCCCGCCCACTTCCCCGCGCTGGGTGGAACCCCCGGCGGGCCCTGCCTCCCTCCGCCACCGCCTCTTTCGGCCAGGATTGGCTATCTGCGTGGCAGGTGCCCGCCTACCGCGGAAATTGATTGGTCCATTGAGAGGGAGGCAGGGGAAGGAAAGCTGATTATAAAGGAGCATCCCCCTCCCACCCGACCCATGGAAAAGTCACGTGGCGCTTCGCTGGGCGCCTGTCACCACCCTGCTTGTAAAGCTTTCTTAAAGGGCTCGTGTTCCCTTCCAAGAGCTGGTCCTTAACAGGATTTCTCCACCCCTGCCCACGGAAGGTGACACGGCCCTGAGTTTTCCTACCCCGCCAGTCACCCAGGTCCTGATTTCCCGTCAGGCCTGCTGGGGTGAGACGCTTCCCCCAGGTCTGGAACCTGTGACCGTCAGGGGGACGATGAGGTCGCCTGAAACAGAGACCGCCTAGCACAGTGCGTGGCACGTAGTAGGCGTTCAATTCCCATTTGTTGAATGAACTCGATGACAGAATGAATGAATGGGGATGACAGGCGGAAGAAGGAGAAGTTGCTCAGCTGGACAGCCCCACCATCACGCCCCGTCCCGGGGTAACTCTGCTCCTGTGAATGTAGGGTGGGGGTGCCAGTCATAGGACACCCCCAGGGCCGCTCTTCCCGTAGTGCCCAGAAGAGCTTGGGAGCACGCGCAGAATGAACCCGTGAAGGCGTCTGGGCCGGGCCCCCTAGGCGAACTGCAGTCAGCTCTGGGCTAGTCCAGGGAGCGACGGTACGGAGAAGCTGTAGAGGAGGGCCCCGCCGCGGGTCTCCGGGCGCACTGGCCACAAGTGCGCCAGCGTACCCTGTGGGGAGGGGCGGTGGAGGCGCTGCGCCTTTAAGTCCGGGCGCCGGCCCCGCGGCCCCGCCCCTCGGAGAACGCCTCGGCGCGCGGCCGCCGGAGCCGCCGTTTAATTGGGGCTGTCAGGCCGCGGTGCGCGCGGAGGGCCGGGCGGGCGGGACGGAGGCCGGCAGGCCGGGGCAGCGGGCGTGCAGCTCGGCGGGAGGCGGGCGCCCGGAGACGCGGCTGGGGCCCGCGCGGCCGGGGCGCCGTCCCAGGGCAGGGCTGCCCGGCCCCGGCCCCGGGCCGCCCGCGCTCCCCATGAAAAACCAGCTCCGCGGCCCCACAGCGCGGGCGCACATGTCGACTTCGGGGGCGGCGGCGGCTGGGGGCACCCGGGCGGGGTCCGAGCCCGGTGCGGGGTCGGGGTCCAGCGCAGGCACCGGGGCGGGCGCGGCGACGGGAGCAGGGGCCATGCCCTGCAAGAGCGCCGAGTGGCTGCAGGAGGAGCTGGAGGCGCGCGGCGGCGCGTCCCTGCTGCTGCTGGACTGCCGGCCGCACGAGCTCTTCGAGTCGTCGCACATCGAGACGGCCATCAACCTGGCCATCCCGGGCCTCATGTTGCGCCGTTTGCGCAAGGGCAACCTGCCCATCCGCTCCATCATCCCCAACCACGCCGACAAGGAGCGCTTCGCCACGCGCTGCAAGGCGGCCACCGTGCTGCTCTACGACGAGGCCACGGCCGAGTGGCAGCCCGAGCCCGGCGCTCCCGCCTCGGTGCTTGGCCTGCTCCTGCAGAAGCTGCGCGACGACGGCTGCCAGGCCTACTACCTCCAAGGTGAGGGCAGCACCGAGACTCCTTACGGGAGCGGGGGCCCCCTATGGCTCCCTGACGCCCCCCTTGGAGGCTCTTTCCTCTCTACTCGCTCGGCCTGCCCCGTTGGGCGCCACGTCGTCCCCAGCCCGCGTCCGCCCTCCTGGAGCCCGGTCCCCACCGTGTGGGTTTGGCAGGAGCGGGGCTCCCTCTGCGCCCCCTTTCTTGGCCCGATTCGAGTGGGTGGAACAAACTTTTCCCTGCCTGGGGTTTCCTTTTTTTCCTGTTGATGGGGCGACAGTAGCACCCAGGCTCCAGTGGAGCCCCTCAGAAGAGGGAGGCGCCACCTCCCGGAACCCTAAAAGCGGCAGGGCGTCCAAGTCCAGCCTGGAATTCTTGTTTCTGGAAGGCCAGGATCAGGAAGGGCACCTTTCATAGCACCATCCTCATCTCCAGCGCGTGGAGACCATATGGGTTGGGGTCTCCTGGATCCGAGAATTGCTCTTTACACCAGAGGATTGCCGCCTCTGGGAGGCGCTTGGGGCAGCGTATGGGCAGGGTCCACGGCTCTGGCCCGGATCTCTCTGGAACTCCAGGTCCCCAGCCTGATGCCCCAGAGCTTGCCGAAGGGAGAGGCAGCACCGGGGGGCGAGTGGCTGAGGCCGGTGTTTCCAATTAACATTCCAAAATGGCCTCTTGCTGGCAGCGGGGCAGGAGGGGAGGGGAGGCCTGCGGCACCCTCGGGCGCAGGGCCCATGCCTCGCTCCAAGGCGCTCCCTATTTTTCCTGTCCCTGTATAGCCCCAGTGGCCCTCCCCTGCTGCAGGTCCAAAGCTGGGGGGCCTTGTGTTCTAAGGGAGTGCTCTAGAGAAGTGGGGCCAGGACCCCCTTCAGGAACCTGCCCCTGCTGGGGAAAGGGGCCAGCCAATACCCTCCCACTACCCTCCCCAGCTGTAGTTTTGGGGCTGGGCAACTACTAGACTCCCCTCCAGGAAGCCCAGGACCTCTCTGCCTCTAGCTAACCCAGATGTGGCTCTGGCACCTGTGGTATCATCTGTAAGAGGAGTTTGCCAACCCAGAGGTGCTGGCTAAGATGAGGTTGTCTGCTTTCCTTTACCACTTATCTGTTACTGAACACCCATGGGTGCTATGTGTATGTGGGAGCTGCAGAAGAGGAATTAACTGGGGCCTGTCCTCAAGTGCCCTATAGCTGGTGGCATGGCTGGGGGACCTGAAGTGTTATGGGTACGGGTTTGGAGTCCAGGCACATCACTTCACCTCCTGGGACCTCAGTTTCTGTGAAGTGGTCATGGTTTAGATGGAGAGAACACAAGAGAGAGCACATGGGTAACATGCTTGGCGTGGCCTATGCTGACCATTGGTGTGGTGGTGCTTGGTATGGGGAGTCCTGCCCATCCCTGGTCTTGTGCAGCCCATCTGGGCTCTCACCAGTCTCTCACCCAGGCCTTGTCTAACCCCGGCCACAGGTGGTTTCAACAAGTTTCAGACAGAGTACTCTGAGCACTGCGAGACCAATGTGGACAGCTCTTCCTCGCCGAGCAGCTCACCACCCACCTCAGTGCTGGGCCTGGGGGGCCTGCGTATCAGCTCTGACTGCTCCGACGGCGAGTCGGACCGAGAGCTGCCCAGCAGTGCCACCGAGTCGGACGGCAGCCCTGTGCCATCCAGCCAACCAGCCTTCCCTGTCCAGATCCTGCCCTACCTCTACCTCGGCTGCGCCAAGGACTCCACCAACCTGGACGTGCTCGGCAAGTACGGCATCAAGTATATCCTCAATGTCACACCCAACCTGCCCAACGCCTTCGAGCACGGCGGCGAGTTCACCTACAAGCAGATCCCCATCTCTGACCACTGGAGCCAGAACCTCTCCCAGTTCTTCCCTGAGGCCATCAGCTTCATTGGTAGGTGTTGTGTGCTGGGCAGAGTGGGTGGGTGTATCAAGGTGTAGCAGGACTCTGGGTGGCGCCCCCACCTGACTGGGTATCTCTGGGCCTGTTGAGACCTGTGTGTGCCCTGCGTGTGCCAGCGTGTGCCCGTGGGTGTACCCATGCCTACTGTGAGTCACTGAGTCCCTTGGGCCCCTCTACCTGTTGGGGCCTGAGCAGCCTCCTGAGACCTGAGCTCCCCCCAGCTGGCAGCACCTCTTGGGCTCTCTGCTGCCCAGCTTGTGTTTCCCTGGCGTCGATGTTGTTTCGAGCTTAGCAAGCTGAAACATCACAGCGCACAGACCTCCCACGGGTCTCACTTGCTCTGCATCACACCTCAGCACACGTGTCTTTCCAGGATGGGGCTGTCACAGTGCCTCTTTGGGCTTTAATGTGTACCTAAGAGGGCTGAAAGGGAGCCCTGGAGCCAGAGGCACACCCCAAACAGGCAGCCATTGAAATGTGGTGACCGCTAGCTTGGTCAGGCTCCAGATGCTCTCTGTAGCCTGTAGGGCTCGCTTGGAGTGTAGGGAGGAGTGTAAGAGAAGGTGGGGAGTAGAGAAAGGCCTCCTCCAGAGCAGTGTGTCCTGCTGTCTGGCTTATAGCCCTTTGAGTCCCTGTGTCCCCAGCCTCAGCTGACTTGGGTTCCCCACTGCCTTCTCCTTGGCCAGCTGGAGGCTGTGAGACTGCAGTTCATCTCCCCTGGCCCAGGGTGCAAGGAAGGGGCACGGGGGTTCAGGATGAATGTAAATGCTAGGTCTCTGAGCCTGGTGACCCAGTGTTTCTGCCCAGCCTCCAGTGGCAAGGTGTGGGGGTGGCCTGGGCTGTCTTTTCCCGATGGCGGCTATGTCCAGTGGAGGGCGTTTTGGTGTCGGTTGGGCTGGGCTAGCTTTAACAACAGGAAGTGGGAGGCTTCCCCGCCTCATCCGCTTACTGGGAACCAAAAGTAGGTGCCTGGCTGGGAGGAAGGAAGGAAGCTGAGGCCTGGGGGAGGGGCTGCCTGGAGCTTCCCAGCTCTACCACCCTCCACTCCCCCACCCCCCCACCCCCCTCCCTGGGGGCCAAGAGGGCTATGGGTGCTGCCTCAGCATTTGAACTCGCCCAGCGAGGGAGGGGAGTAGAAGGAAGCGGGCTTCTCCAGGCTGAGCCTGGCTGGTGGGTACCTTTATCCTTCCTGAAGGCCCCTCCCCATCTGGGTAGATGGACCTTTTTCCTCATTTGACAAGTGAAGGGAGTGAGGCCCAGAAATCCCTTAGGAGTCAGTGGGACAGGATCAGTCACCAGCCACACCCGGAAAAGGCCAAAAATAAAGCCAGCAGAGACAGACTCTCTCTGGATCACCTGGAGGTGGGTTTGGAGGCTGGGCGTTCCTCACATCCTGGTGTTACCACTGGAAACTTGTCCCAGCACCCCCGTCTCCCACCCCCAATCTCAAGGTCAGACCACACAGCTCCAAGTGAAGCTGCAACATCTGTCTCCTCCCCTGATGACCCTGCCCCAGTGCCTTAGCCATGGGGCCCCCTGTCAGTCCCTGCGTCTGGATGAAGCACTTCCTGTATGCTTAATTCTTGGTACCCCTGGTTGGGCAGAGATGGGGAGAGGAGGCTCTGTCAGGACAAAGGCAAAGAACAGTGGGTGAGCCTGTGTGTCATCTTGTAGCAAGGCATTGATTGAGTGCTAGCTGTGTGCCTGGCTCCTGGAGGGTTCAGAGTCAGAGTGGTGGGGAGGTCAAGGACCCCATGGCTGCCTCTTGTGAATCTATGTCCCTGGCACAGCTATGGCACACAGAGAGGCAGCTGCCCCAGGGTCCAGGAGAGATTATAAGACTGAGTTGTTCGGTAGCTCAGCCAGTATTTATTGAGCTTCTACTATGTGTCAGCCAAAGGAGTCTGAGGGTGGCACTGGGGGAAGCTGGAAGGGTTGGAGGGGGAGCTGGGAGGGTTGGAGGGGGAGCTGGGAGGGTTGGAGGGGGAGGCTAGGAGGGTTGGAGGGGAAGGGGAGAGGAAGGGTCTGCATTCAGTTGGCTGTGGTAGGAGGTGTCACTGGCACATGGGCCTGCTATGGAAGGTCTAGCAAGCAGGCAGGGGTGGGCCCCATTTAAGCACACCTCACTTACGAAGCTCCGTCACAAGTGATAGCATGGCCATTGTCCTAGTCCCTATATCTTCAGGAGCTGGGGTTAAGACTGTGGGGACTAGCTGGGCAGAGGGCAGAGTGAAGCGCAGGACCAAGCCACCTACTTCCTTCCAGAGGAGCCTCCCTCAGGCCGCTTTCCTGGGAGACTCTCAAGGACAACCCACAGGAGCAGCTCCAGGAGAACCAGACCAGCCCTCAGTCCCAGGTCAAGGCCTGGCAGCAGCGGGTGCTGAGCTAGGAGGAGCCTCTGTGTGGCCTTGTGCTTGTCACTTTGTCTCTGGGTCTGTTTTCTCGTTGATAAAATGGGCTTACTGGCTATGGTGCAGATGACTCAAGAGGATGCAGGTGCCACCATGGCAGCAGTCGCAATGCACATGGTGGTGGTAGGACTAGCCGTGATCACAGGTGTTACAGTAGTTCATGTTTGGTGATCCCTCACTTGCCTCAGGTTCTTAGGAGACCACTGTGCATAAATAGGCCCCTTTGATAGATGAGGAAACTGAGACAAACTGGGTATCTAGTGCATTGGGGCTAAAGTATGCAGAGCCTCCACAGCAGTGCTGCTGACCTCTATTTCAAGTTGCTGCCCTACCCACACTGGGCTTGGCCAGGTCCCTTGGGGGTCAGGCAAGACCAGCCAGTGACTATGCTGCCGTCTGTGCCCCACCTGCCCACCCATGTGAGAAGGCTCCTTGAAGGAGGCCCCTCCCTGACCCATGCTGATGTGTTTCAGACGAAGCCCGCTCCAAGAAGTGTGGTGTCCTGGTGCACTGCCTGGCAGGCATCAGCCGCTCAGTGACGGTCACTGTGGCCTATCTCATGCAGAAGATGAACCTGTCACTCAACGACGCCTACGACTTTGTCAAGAGGAAAAAGTCCAACATCTCGCCCAACTTCAACTTCATGGGGCAGCTGCTGGACTTTGAGCGGACGCTGGGGCTAAGCAGCCCATGCGACAACCACGCGCCCAGTGAGCAGCTCTACTTCTCCACGCCCGCCAACCACAACCTGTTCCCACTCAACACGCTGGAGTCCACGTGAGGCCTGGTGCACGGGGGGCATGGCACCAGGCCCCTTCTTGGCCCTCCGTGGGGCCAGGTGGAAGAGCCCAAGCCTGCCGCCTCTGGCCTGAGGAACCCCCAGGATGTCGCCTGTGCCCAGAGGCCCAGGCTGATCGGTGTGTCGGAGCGCCCCTCACCATCCTTGGGGGCGGGGTCCGCAGGCAAGATCTCCCTCTGCAGGGCTTGCTGGAGAGGCCTCGGCTCTCAGACACGTGGCTTTGGGCGTCCACCAGGGCCTCATGTTGTCCCAGGACGCTCCTTTCTGCTGATGGCCCAGCCAGTTTGGCTGTTTTTTAAAGACACATCCACGGACCTGAGTTTACTTTTTACTTTTGGCAGGTAAATCCAAGCTCCCTGGAGCACAAAGAGTGTTTGAGCTCTTCTTGATTTTTCTTTTCTTTTTTTTTAACAAAAAAGTGTTATTTTCAGGCTACATGCAACAGTGGATTGTATAACCCAGTATTTCATCCCCTTCTTGATCCTGCGAGAGAGAGAAGTGTTCTCAGTTTTGTTTTTCGTTCAGTTTCAAAAAGCAAGTATCGTGTTTGTTTTTTAATGGAAAAGACAGACCCCCATGTTGACCTTGACCAAATGCGTTTTGCACATGTGTGAAGCCTCTGTTTCCTCAGCGGGCCCTTCTTGAAGGGGTGGCTTACTGCTCTTCAGGTATCGGGACCCCCAGTCGTGCCACCTCCCACCCTTGGCCCAGTCTGACTTGGCCCTGCATTTGCCTGTGATGCCTGCTGCAAGTTCTGATTGGTGGGCTGGATGGTGGTCTTTGCATTTTCTGCCCTCTCATCCATCCCTCTGGTGGTCCCTGCAGACCTCCCTGAGGCAGAAGGTGGGGAACCTGGGGCTGTGCCACTGTCCCACTGGAGGTGGGCCGCAGGGGGCTGCCAGGCAGTAGCATTGCCCTCTGGGCTCAGCCTCTAAGAGGGCCTGGGCTCTGAGCCCTTCTGTATACTTAGCTACTACTCCTGTCTGTCTGTCTGGCGCTGTCTCTCTCTCTCTCCTTCTCTCTCTCTCTTTTTCTTTCTCCCCCCCTCCCTCCTCTCTTGTAACTGGGAGTAGAGGCCCAGTGGCTGGGGAGAGCTCAGGTGGTGGGGCCCAGCCCTCCCTCCAGGTTCTTCCCTCTCCCTAGCTGTCGCTTTGGTCTGGCTGCCACTCCCAGCCCCTTTGTCCTCGTGGAAGCTTGCCCCGCCCTCATCTTGCCCATGCCTTCTACTGCCAGGAGACTTGCACCCATTTCAACCCTCAGGCAGGGGCAAGTGGGGCAAGGATGGACCAGCAGAAGAGGGGTGAGGCTCTGTCCACCTCCCCCGCCTCCACAGAACAAAGCCACGGATTCCGTTATCTTCCTCCAGTTTTGTTCCTTCTCCAGCCTCAGTTCTACCAGGTGTCAGGACTGCATGGGGGCCTGGGGCAGGGAGAGCGATCGGGCCAGGGTCCCTGACAGAGCAGCACTCAGCATGTGAGTGAGGCCGCGGAAACTCTGCCCCACTGCTTCTTACCTCACAGGGGTGGTTTTCAGGGATTCTTTAGGGCAGTAGATTAAAATCTTGCCACAGTTGAGAAATTGACAACAAGCTTCCATGCTGTACATGGTTCTTTTTCTCTCTTTTATTTTTAAAAAGAAAACCCAGAAAGATGCACCAGGTTTGTGTAAATGAGGGTGTGCCAGAAGGTGGCCAGTTTTGCTTTATGATCTTATGAAGGAAGATTTGTGACCCTACATATATATATATACACACACATACATATATATATCCCGAACCAGCAACGGGACTTTGTTTATATTGCAAATAAATATTATTTTTTCTTTAAAATGAGTCGTGTCCAGTAAGGGTTTTGGGCCTGGGAAGGAGAGGAAGGAGTGCTGTCGACCGGCATCCTAGTGCCTGCTCTGTGCGAGGCATTGGCCTGGTCCTCCCTGGGGTCTGCTAGGCACTTGGTTAGACCAATCAAGGTGCCCCGCAGATGGGAAGGAGCTGCCAAGGTTTCTGGCTGAAGCTGGGGCAGGTGGCATTTCCCAGCCCTTAGGCACTGGCAGACAGAGGCATCAGGGCTTTCTCTTGGGCTTCTGCTGAAATCAGGGCTTGGAGAGGTTTTATGGACCAAGTTCACACAACTGAGCCCAGACTCGCCCTTCATTGCCCAAGGCTGTCTGCTCGTGCATTGCCCAGATTGCAGCCCCCAAGACCCTGACCCTTTCTGTTGCTGCTGCGTGGGCGAGAGAGGGGAATCTGCATTTAACCCTGCCCCTGCAGGTCCTGGGATGTCAGTGGGACTGAATCGTGGGCAGTGAGCAGGTCAGCCCTTTGCTTCTTAAGGGCTGGGTGGCTTTGGACAGGTCCCTTAGCCCCCCAGCCTCAGTATCCATCTCTGAAGTTGGGTTGATTGCACCCAGTTCCTAAGTGCTTTTCAGCTTTGTGGCATGACAAGCACATGGTTGGCCTCAGCTCAGAGGGAGGAAACAGCCGTGCTCAGGCTTGCACAGGGAACTGTGAGCATCGGCCTCCATCCAGGCTCCCCTGGTGGTGGGGTCTAAGCAAGGCCCTGGGCTGGAGCAGGAAGGAGACCTGGAGAAGGATGGTGACCACAGCCTGGGGAAGTCAGGCCCCCAGTGGGCAACAAGCCCTGTGTGACAGATTAGGAAATGAAGCCTCCAGAGTGGCTTAGGTCTCCCTTTCCTCTGGCTGGATCAGGTGAGCCCCAGTCAAGGACATAAGCCTGGAAGCTGACTCAGTTTCCTCATTTCTGCCATTCCCCAGCTCTATCCCTTCAGCAGACTGATGAGCACTGAGCTGAACCCAGGTAGAATGTGGGTGGGCAGGGCGGGGAGGGTGAGGGCAGCTCAGCCTGGGACTTGCCCTGTTGGGGTGTCCAGGCTGTCCTTCTCTTCCCTCCCTCATCTCTGCTCTTCAGTTTTTCTGCACCAGAACGCAGTCACAACCATCACTCGCTGCCTGTGGCAAGGGGTGGAGGGCAGGTTCTGCCCGCTGTGGGACCTGGGTGCAAATCCCAGCTGTGTGACTCCAGTCCCTCAGCTCTCCCCTGAAATACTCCCATCTGGAGCGTGGAAGAATCCTGCCACTCATCCGGCAGTCCTGTGTGGGTGGGAGGGGACAAGGGGGTGGTGCTGCTGTTGCTCCCCGGCTCCCTCCGGGCCCTGTTCCTTCTGTGCCAGGGGCAGGCAAGGGGGTGGGGGCCTGAGCAGGCAGAGACTGGGCCTTTGTTCCCTCTTGCTGTCCTCGCCCAGGCCTGGGGAAGCCCGAGGGTGCTGGGCTGGGGGCTGGGCCCTTGACAAGCCGAGTAAGTGCCTGGCAGTGCCAGCGTGCCCAAGCACAGGACCCGGTGGGGGTGGGAGTGGCAGCCGCCTCCTGAGCGGGCTCTTCAGACCAAGGACTGGGAGTGCCTGAAGAGGGCCAGCCCCGTCACTTAGCCCTGTGCACTCTGGGGCCAGTAGTCTCTCTGACCACGTGTCCTCATTACCTGTAGCAACTCCTACCTTAGCACTGGGCCTGGCTAAGTTTCCCTGCTTGGGGAAGGAGGGCCAGGTCATGGCTGAGTGGCTGGGCCCTGGGTCCTTGCTCTGTGACCTTGGGCTGGGCCACGCTTACAGGACTGAGGTTCCCCACCCCGAGTTTCGGGCTCCCGTCTCATGGCTCCTGGTCCTGAGCGCCTCTTACCCCACCCTGGTTCCGCCGTGCTCTCCCCGGCAGGCCCTGCTTCCTCCAGGCCATCTGTGGCTGAGGCCCTCGGTGCCGCCGCCCTGTGCTCCTGGACACTTGGCTCTGTAGGGGTGCGCCTGCTTCATCTCTGTCCCCAGTCCTATTGCTCTCCTGAGCCACTTTGCCTCCTTGGTCCCTGTTTCTGCCTCTGTCTTAGCCCGGGCCCCAGGGACCTCATCCACTTCTTAGCCGCTTAGTGTTCTCATGGGAGGAGGATCCGGGACACTTACTCACTTGCACATTCACCCAGCAGCCATTTCCTGTGCCGGCCGGGCAGTCCCAGGGAGGGAACATGCCCGAGGGAAGCTTGGTGATGTCACGAGGGGTGGCAGGATAATGGGGCCCTCAACTTGTCCTCTGATAATGAAACAAGTGCAATGTGAGGACTGACTCAGGCTGGTCCAAGGCAGCACTTGGAGCGCTGTGGAGCGGCCACCTTGAAGGGGTTCCGACGAGGAGACCACAGGAGAGATGAACCTTTCCCTAGGGTGGTCCTGCTCTGAGCCTGGGAGCGGGAGAGGGCCCTGCTCTGCCTGCCACCCCCACAGGGCCCCTCCCCAGAGGGCAGTCACGCCTCGTGAATGGAGCAGGGTAGTGGTGGGCGGCAAGCCTGCGCTGGAGCCTGACCCTCCCCGCTGTTGCCCCTGTGCTGCGCACCTGGGCCAACACCATGACTGCACTGTACCTCCCTCTGTGTCAGCATGGATGTGTCTGGGACACCAACACCTATCCCCAGACCCTTGGCAGAAGCCAAAGGACCTGATGTGGGAGCCAGCTTTCTCTTGAGGGAGCACATTAGCATGCTGACCTCTGGGTGCCCCGGTCCTTGATGTCTTTACCCCTGCTTGTTCTGGGCCCCGCCAGGACACAGTGCTCGCACCTGACTCCTGAGACCCAGCAGACCTGAGCGCTCTGGGAAGGCTCAGAATCACTCTGCTCCTGAGCCCGGTGCGGATGGGGAAGGTGAGGTTTGCAAAGAGGTTTGCCTCATAGAGAGAGGCAAGTTAGAGGCTGGGCACCCCCCTGCTGCCCTGAGGCTTCACACACACACACACACACACGCACACACACACACACACACACACACACACACACACGCATACACACACGGCATCACCATCCTCTGACTAGACAAGCCCATGCAGGTCTCACAGCAATGGAGGCGCCCTGCCTCTGACTGTAGCCTCCTCTCATCAAGGTGTGTCCTGGGTGAAGTCATCCCTTTCCAGGAATGGCCATTAAAGACTATCATTAGCGACTCTTAGAGGCCTCAGCCCCATTGTCTGTGGCTGGGTCAGATGAGCCCCGACAGGTGACCATGATGCAGACTCCGGCCCTTGCTAGAACCCCTGTTGCCCAGGCAGCCAGCCCCCTACCCAGGGCTATCCGGTGGCACACCTCCAAGGGCCACTGTCTGCTGTGTAGCTTCTGGGCGTGTGTGGGGTCTCCACACACCTCCCTTCCTCCGCGCCCTCACCTCTTCCTCTGCCTCAAGGCTACAGGCAGAGGAAAAGCTGCAGTGCCCTTCCGCAGGATGTGGGGGGCCAGGGAGGAGTCTCTTTAGGGGGCAGGGGAGCCCCTAGAGGGCTTCAGGCACAGGGCCATCAGGGTCAGGCTGTCACAAAGAAGTTCTAGTTGCTGCGTGGAGAACAGCCTAAAGGGCAAGCGCACAGGCCAGGAGACAGAGGAGGCTGGGGCAGTCGTTCAGGGTGGGGCAGGAGGGCTGGAGAGGGTTCGAGAAGGATCCTGCAGACCAGCAGGACTTGGGCCGCATGGGAATGGAGACCGCTGGTGTGAGCAGAGGGTCCCAGCTTGTCTGACACCGCATCCACAGTCTGAAAGCCAGCCGCTGTGCCGCACAGAAGGACGCAGTTTAGCTGGG